GGGTGGGGGGGTGCAAATCAAAAAGTCTTCCGTGGGGGGTATGGATATTTTCTGGAACCACACAATCAGTGGACTTCATGCTTTCTCTATAAGAGGGTTGATTTAAGAAAATAAATGTCCTTCCACTTTTAGGTATCGGCCCTCTTGACATAGATCACAGAGTTAAATGTTTAGATAAAGGGTTCAGCTAAATTGAGGCCAAACAACGGCTAAACTTTGTTAAATAAGTGAATTGCCACATACTTCTGATCGTTCTTGACATTCCCTTTCTAAGTGCTCTACCTGTTGCTGATAACTGTTGTGTCTTTGGGCCATTTGACGGAGCATCTTCAATCAAAATACAAATTATGTCAGTCACTATAACACAACTATGTCTTCACAGATGAACTCACAAAAAAGGGACAAGCCCATGCCTTGTAAAATAAGCTCATAAAATTACATCCCATACCTGTAGCTGTTCCCCTCTAAGACTTTCATTTTCCTTGTGGGAAAAAAGGTTGAATCCAAATTATATGTGGGTGTAAATCACAAGGTAAAGTCTGTTTACGAGCCTAGTGACCCATTAGGCTGGTGCTTAACTCTGGTTTCTGTAGCATGAAGTGACTAGGAGTATTTCTACTCCTCCCTGGATGGGATGCCAGTCCATCGCAGGGTTACCCCCAGCATTAAATTGCCAGTACCCATTTAAACACCTGGGTGAAGAGAGGCGCTGTGAGAGTAAAGTGTCTTGCCTAAGAACACAACACAATGTCCCGGCCGGGGCTCGAACCAGACCACTCGATCCGGAGTCGAGCGCACCAACCATGAGGCCGCCGCGCCTCCATGGGTGTAAATGACAAGCAAACTATAAATAATACATAAAATAGTACAACCTACTATTCCTGTGGGAAACATTCTGAAAGTACCTTAGCTACCAAATTTTCCCAAGTGACAATTCACATTTTCTCGTGTTTCATCCATTAACTGGATAATCAACTCTGACTCTTAGAGGTGATCACCATGTTACTTCTCCCTACAATATCTTTACATTATCCAGCAAGTAGGTGATGAGAATACTCAAACTTATCAGGTAGAAGTAGTTGTCTTAATCAAACACCAAATTCCCGTCAATAATTTACATGGAAATATTTAGCAGCTAGAGAGGAGATTAAACAATCAGATCTTAGGAGCTTAATTATAAGGATTGGTGATTTTAAGCAACAATTACAGCAGGGTCAGATGTTGAGAGGAAGTTTAGCCCAGTTTGCTGATGTGCCACCCTATTCAAAATGCAAGAAACTTCCTAATAATTGAAAAGTACCAATTATAACTATAGTCCTGACTGAAAAAAATGCTCCTGCAATATTTGTATCAATCAGCGTAATTGAAGAGACTCTCAACTTGTATGGATTTTAGAAAACTTACTTCTATATGCTGGTCTTTCTGTTCACACAACAAAAACAAACAAGCAGATTAAGCATATGATAAGCATAAAGGCCTAACTTAATTGTGACTGTGTGTCTCCATTCATCACTGGGATAAACTTTAACTTCACGATGGTGAGATATAGTTATTAATCAATAGAAGCTATTGTAACACTTACCTGTCTGAGTTGCTGAATTGCCTGATCTTTACATTCACACATCTAAAAATTTAAAGACTCAGTTTGATATTAACCTAACAATTTCCATCAATTCAAAAAAAGTCCTGTAAAAATAGCAAATTTAGACACAATATCATACATCAGGAACACTCTGTTTTCATCAATAAATATAATCTGGCAGCTAGGGGAAAGAAATCACCAGGACAGAGTACAAACCTCTTGAGTCATTCCTATCAGGCGCTGATTTTCTTGTTGCAGATAGTTGCTGTAATCCAGATATCTTTGCAACTTTAAAACCAAGAAACAAGTAGTGAGAATTAAAGATTAAAAAAAAAGGATACAGGGTAACAGGCTTTAGGACTCCAAGCTCAGCACTCAGATTTTATTACAAATTTAAAGAAAACTGTGGAGCACAAACTAATGGTGTTGTAAGCAGATCAGTGAATGCTTTTCTCACACTTTAACTTTAGACCCAATCGCTACACAAGTAATGAAGGCAATGAAATATTAAGCAACCACTATGTCACATTTAGTCAAGTTTTTTTTTCTTGCCATGACTGCAGCTTGGCAATGCTCTGGCTTATAGTTTCCAATATAGAAAGGAAAATTCTAAATTGGAAAAACAACATTTTCTTTCAAGATATCCTTATTATACAGAAACAGCAACTTTAAACTTTACGAAAATATGTATTACCAGATTGTATCCACCTCTTTGCACATACATGCAATGCACCTATATAAGATATGTTACTGGCTGTTACGATATTTGCATATTTGATTTGCAATCATCAGAGCTTTTGTATGACCACATTTGGTTAATAAATTCATTTGACAAATAGCACATGGTTTTTAACTTGATTGTCTATCAGTTATATAGCTAGAGATGCAAAGTATATTCTTTATAACAGCACTTTGTCAAATTTAATTTCAATACATGTGATTTATTTAATACCTCATCACTGGTTCCTTGAAGCTGAGCACACTGTTGTCTAGAATGCTAAAATTAATCATAAAATAGTGATGATGAGTTTACAAAGTTTAGTCATAGGAGCACTCAACCTTTTTTATAAACTCATCTTCCAAAAAATAATTATCTATAACAAAACTGGACCCAATCCCATGCTCCATAATATATTCAATTTTAATCAGAATTGGACAGAAAACCATAGAGCCTCAGTTTCACCCAGTTTAATTAACTACACTGTCAAAGTATATAAGAAAATGTTTATCTAAACTTGACTTCTGAATTTCCATGACAGGCAAAACTGTCTCAGCTTGAAGTGCTCAACTGGGGATGTATTTCTCACAAAAAATGCAAATTTAATTCAATGAGTTGTATGCTGCAGCTGGACCAGCAGTAACAACATCACTGTCAGTACCTGCAGGTCTTGCTCACATGCCTGTAGGTCTTCCATGCATGCCTCATATTTTTCAGTCATCTTCCACAGGTTCTACATGACAGAGTATGATCAAACTTAATATTAGATGTTCACATTATACTAGTATCTACCTCAGATATCTAAAATATTTCACAACTCATGAAATTAATGGAAGTTGCCGCCATTTTGTTGGTTTCTGTGATAAAGTCAATTTGTTTTGAGGGTGATTGTCAATTGGAAAAGAACAAAAAACTTGCTTGACTACACTAGATCAGAGGGAACTTAAGAAAACATTCAGTTCTAAGAACAATGCTACAAAAATGTACACAGCCTAAATAGTATTCTTCAGACATGTGTAAAATATTATAAAGTACCTTACCCGAGTCAAAAAGGCAATTTCCCCCAATTGAAAAGGTGCCTGAACCTGTCAAAAGGGAACATGATACATGAAACAATCGCTACTTGTAGTAATTAAGAATTTTGAGGGATACAGTTGAACCTGTATCAAGCAGTGGTAAAGGAAAAGATTCCCATCCCACCTACACCTTAGGTGATGAGTTGGCTACCTACAGGGTATGGCAGTTTGAGCAGAAAAATTTTTTATTGTGCAGGTAAATGCACACAGCAGTGCTTACAATCTTCCAGTGAATAGTATGATAGGAAGACTAGTCCACAGATCATGGTGTAGTTAGAACAAAAAAAAAAATAAAATAAAATAAAATAAATAATACTCAGTACTACTTCCCATCAAATTACAAACCTGTTGAAGAATATTCACGTCCTGAGTCGCATCATCATTTTCTGATGGTGAACCACTACTTTCCCCTTCATCTGTGCTGTGTGTGGCATGAGCCATACCCTGGTGAACTTGGCAAACAGGATTCTGCACTGCAGGCCTTGCATGCAGAGCTGGTAAACTGCTTGCATCAATGGTTGGTGACAGTTGAGCATCAAGTGGCATTCCCCTGTTTAAGACTGGCCTATCAGGACTCACAGCTGAATTTGCTTTACCAGGCATTGGGTTGTTTAGAGGTAATAGACGAAGTTGAGGGGAAATTGCAGCTTGAGGAGTAACTGGTCTTGATTGTGTTCCTGAGTCATTCCAAGATAAACTCCCATCTGCATCACTCTGTGATGATGAACTGCTGTCCTCTGCTTCACCTGCGCCATATGTGTCAGTTGCAGTAGTCTGGTGGAACTGGCCCACAGGATCCTGCACTACAGGCCTTGCATGCAAAGCTGGTAAACTACTTGCACTGATGGCTGGTGACAGTTGAGCATCAAGTGGCATTCCCTTGTTTTCCAGCATAGCTGGCCCAACAGTCATCACAGCTGCTTTACCAGACATCAGGTTGTTTGGAGGTAATAGATGAAGTTGAGGGGAAATTGTAGTTAGTCTTGATTGTGCCTTTGAGTCACCCGCAGACAAACTCCCATCTGTATCACTCTGTGATGATGAACTGCTGTCTTCTGCTTCATCTGCACCATATGAGTCAATTTCAGTAGTCTGGTGGAATTGGCCCACAGGATCCTGCACTACAGGCTTTGCATGCAAAGCTGGTAAACTACTGGCTGATGATGGTTGAGCATCAAGCGGCATTCCCCCTCCCAAGGTCTGCCAATCATGATCCACAGCATTTGCATGACAGTTCATTTGCTTGCTTGGATGTAATTGGTGACTTTCAACAGGCAGTATCTGGTAATTTGCTGCATCAGGAGAAACTGGTCTTGATCCTGTACTCAAACCATCTAGGTTTGGAATAGAAACTGTTTCAATCTGTGACCATGACCTGCTGTCTGTTTCTTCATCCATACCAGATATGTGAGATGGAGTGCCCTCATGGAATAGGTGGTTAGCTGTTAAGCTACTCTCATTAGCTAATGGTAGTGAAAAAGCAGCACATAACACTCTCCCATGTTCTTGAAGGTTCTGCCCATCTTGATTGACAGCAATGACTTCACCAGCTTTTGGGCTGTTTGGACGGTACTGATGCCCTGTAACTATTGGTAGAGGAGAATTTGTTGCATTAGAAGTGACTGGTTGTGATCTTGACCTTAAGTCACCTGAATTCAAATTACCATCGTCATTGATTTGTGATGTTGAATGGCTCTCTTCTTCTAGTAAGCTACTTGCATTTGTCTGACTGTTTTCCTTTTGTCCAACAGATAACACCATACTTTCTGAACCTTTGCCAACTTCTGGATATTGATGTTCTTCATCATCATCTTTCAGAACTGTTGTAGTGTCTTTCACAAGTTCCATACTTGTTTCATCTTCCAGAGGAGGTGGTAAACCCAATTCTGGGCTATTACCTAGGGCAGTGCTTGTCTTCCAAGTCTCCTCTACATTATCTCCTGGCTTGGATGGCAAGTTTGACTTCAATTCTAAGGTAACAAATGGACAATAGTAAGCTTAAGACACTTCAATGCCTAATATCATATACTGTAAGTTCTCTCATATTTCTTCCCTGAATCTGACACAACTTCTTCTTTCCCCATAGCCATGGATCATAATCTCACAATGTTAAACAACAAATTAAAGTAGTTAAGGTACGTTACTCCATACCTTTAGAGGACTACCCTTACAAAAATATTTTTTCCAATCAAATGAAAGTTTAGTACTCTTATTACTAACTCTCATTTTCCAAAAACTAAGTTTAAACCATAAGATCGTCTTAAGATATTGAGCTAGCTGGTTATCATGATCTCTGTAGACATGACCTCCTTGGTAGTTACCTCTTTGTGACAAATAGCTCCACTGGGGAGATCCTATTCTAAGCTTGAAATTACAAGTGTACAACTTAGGAAGAAACTTACGACCACTCTTATGGTCTTTAAGAAAAGACTTCAAGAAAAGCAGAATGTCTTCAAGAAAAGCAGAATATTGTCCTCTGTAATGTAAGCTTTGAAAAGTTAGAATAATCCCTTTATGTGCTCCTCTCACTTACAGATACACACACCAATCATGGTAGGCCCACACAAAAAGCATCAAGCATTTTTAGCACTGGTCGGTTTACAACTTCTACAACTTGAAAGCCTTGAGAACTTTGAAAAAAAAAAAAAATCAAAGTGGCTGAGAGCCACTGAACTTGGTAATGATTAATGAAAGGCTGGAGGGTTTACCAGTACTTCCAGAAAAAATTTGCAATGTTACTGTTTAAATACTTTACTTTTTACAAGCACTTGCACACTTTTATAAAAGGTTTATTAAAGTTGTATCTTGACATCTTATTCGATAATAAAAATTGTTCATGTGAAAAAGATTATTAATGGTTTTTCCTGTTACTGTAATTGTAAGAATGGGAAGATTGATTTTTTTTAGATAATCATAGTCCACAGGCTGAGATGTCTATTGTTTGCATACTATCACAATTTAAGTTATTTAATTATAAAATTTTCTGCCTTAGTTGATCATGTGCAGTCATGTGGTGCAGCAGACTGGCACACAGTTTGGAAAGCAAGAGGTTGTGAGTACAAATACTACAAAACATTTCATTCTTTTTTATTAATTTTTTTCTTATTAACAGATACCTTTATGTATAAAAAATAAAGGGAAAGACAGTGTTCGCCTTTCTGAAGCTTGTGTTTAAAAAATCATCTAAAGAAAATTAATCATTCCAGAATTCGTCCAGCACATTGGTTCACTTCAGTCAAATTCAAAATATGCTAGCCTTACTAAGTTATTACTAGACTAGTTTTTTGTTTTTTACAGTCTCTGTGGCTTCCCAATGTGCTCAAGCACTCCCCAAAAAACTACTAGCTAAGAAGACTAGTTGTTAGGACCTCAAATAAAAAATTCCCTATCTATTCCAGGAATCTTGAGATGAATCATTCATAAGGATCAAGAAAAAGGTCCTAGTTTAAAACCAAAGCAAAGCACAAACTTTTAAATTTTCTGATTAGAAATCAAGATATCTTGCCACCAGTACTAAGGGTTCAAGACTTACCCACTATCAAAATGTATATGTAGTACTGCACTATATATTATCATTGGCTGACATCTCAAAGTGTGAGCCCAGTGTTCACATATTTCTCAGTCAAGCTTGTTTAGAAGACCAAAACTTGCTACAAGATTTTGACAATTAAGAGGGTATATAGAATTGACAGAATTCCATAAAAAATTGATCCTACACTAAAGAAAACAGTCAGGAACAAATGTGTGCTTTCCATGGTTTTTCTTTTCTATCAAAAATTTTCCTCCTGGCTGCCTCAGAACACAGTCCATGTTTGTAAATTTTTTAATACTGGAACTTGACAGTTCTATTAAAGGAAAATCAATGCTTCACCCTGTTAAAGAGTGATATTCTGTGATGGGCAACTTGCAGTAACATATTTCATCAGACATCACATTGGATACCCAATAAATTATAGCTTAATTTGAATGACATTCACTCGTTTTCCCATTTAGCCACTTTTCTCATCTCAAATAGAAGTAAAAAATCTGAATAGCCTAAAAATGTTATCAAATTCTGCATTTCCATTGGTACTTTGTTTGAGTTAGTTTCCAACAAAATGGCACACTTGTGAGGACTCCTCCCCACTGGCTTGGAGAAACCTTCGCTAGAACTAACACTGACCCATTGTGATGAACTTGCTTGAATCAGACCAAACAGCCTTTCCAATAAAAGCAACCATTGAAAATAACAGCCTCTTGAAACAAATATTTTTCATTTATGTAAGGCAGATGAAAATTGTACATTTCTTTACACACCCATTATCATTACTATCAACTAAGCAATTTCAGTCATAATCAAAGAAAACTCACCACTTTCAGAAAGTCTTGAATGTCCATCAACAGGCTTGATTTTCTGTTGTCTCAACTCTTCTGATTCCTTTAGAAGAGTCTCTTGTGTATGGTTGCTAGAGCTATCTGGAGGACAATTATCCAAAGTGTTGACATCAAGTAATACATCTTCCTCAAGGAGCTTTTCAAATTCTTCTGGACATCCAAGGCTTTGAAATATGGACATCCACTTATCTAATGACAGTTCTTGGCCATCTCTTTCTTCAGAAGTAGCAACAACCTCACAGACTGCCTTACATTGTGTCGTATCGATTCGTAATTCTTTACCAAGAATGTCCATACAATCTTTACAACTCTCTAAAAGAAGCAGTATCTCTTTTTTCAACATAGAAGAAGGAGGACTTGTGCCATTTGATGCAAGTTCTAAAACAGAAATGAAGTACATATTTATTTCACACAATATTTCACGGAATATTTCCCATTAAACGTTTTGACAACCCACTTTATCGTAAGGTGCAAATAAACTAGGGAAGACAGAAAGATATCAAACAATTAAATAGGAAAGAGTTTTACTGAGCGCAAAACAAAAAGAATACACTTAATAAATAAATAAATAAACTAATACATTTGAGAATTTGGATAATTCATATTTCACACTCACCAAAGGACATCGTGCTTCGTTCCTCTTCTTAAATTCGTATTGGAGAATTATCTGAAAAATAGGTCCATAAAATCGTATCAGTTTCAGAGAGGTTTATCATTTTAAGTGCACACGGGTAAGGTAATAAACTTAACACAGACATAATAATCAATACAACTAATCGAACCAAAGAAAGTCTGAAAACATTGACACTAAGTAAAAACAAGTTCATTAACAGCGAGATTTGTGAACAATACTTTCAACCAGAAATTGGCCTCAGACGAGTTTTGACGCAATAACGATTTCCCTCTCAATTCCGAGCAGTGGTTCTACATAATGCCTAAAGGTTTTCAGCTAAGAGGTTTTAACTATTTGAAACGATTAGGGTGGTCATGGTACGAATTATATATGATAGCGGCTTGTACAGGTCCAACTAAGCTCACGCGCTTGTAATTAACACATTCCTCGTTAATCAGCTTTCTATTGCCAAATAGAATTGCAAAGTTAATGTGAAACTTTGTTTCCGAATTTAACAAAGCCGATAGTTAAGAAGTCAAATTTAAAATTCGAATGACGCAACCTGAATGGAAGCCACGAATAATTAATCAACTGAAGGAATTGCGCACTAACTAATATCGATCAATGTTCTAAAATAACATTAGCAACGCTTTGCAAGTAAGCACGGTTAAAGTCCAATATAGCACCAAAGAATAAAATGCTCTTCAAATTGGAGACTATCACATAATATTTGAACAAACCAGGCATTCCGGATGCATCCCGAAGCTCTTACGAAGCCCCATGCCAGATTACATATCTTGAAATTTATGCCAACTCGATTACACTCAAAAGAAACTTACCTTGATCAAAACTCAAGTGATCTTCCGGTCATTGATTACGGAAGCACGGAAACAAACAACCATATGTGTTCCAAGTGAACACCTTCAACGCGAAGGACGTAGAGAGCTTCTTGTCGAAGCCATGTATTTGTTCGTAGTGGGCATACTGGAGGTGTGACGCAGTCGAAGTGATATGAATTTGACAACACACGATCTTGGAAAGGTCTCCGAAAATCTCCGAGAGCAGCCGATGGAAAAAGGCGCGGTGGCTCCCCTCTTAGTTTGGCCCCAGGATCCCCAAGATGTTTTTGACATTCTCATCCCCAGGGAGTTTTCGTAGTAACAGACGGACCTATATTATAAGTTTCCGTTTTCCTCTTCGTAAATGCAGGAGTCTCTCTTTTTGAGCGAAACACTTTGTAGGTTTTTTTTTCTTTTAATTTTTTTTTGGCTCAGGGAGGGTGACACATTCTTTTCTTACTTTTCATCCCGTGTCATCATTTAGCACATCTACAAGGAATTCAAAATAATTGGTTGGGTTACTCTTTGTAATCTCAAAATGTAATGAAGAACATTCTGTCTCTGTTTTTCAATGGGAAAAATGAATATAATATGATTTTCGGAGCATACTTTTCCCTCAGGAATGAACCATTAGAATCATGATGGTAGAAAGGTGGAAGGGATGGTAGACTAGTTAGGGATGACAAAAAAACGTAATGCAGGCCAAAACTGATGAAAGAAACAAAAAATCCTTGCAGACTCCCAACCAACCAACCTATTTCATGATGAGGAAGACATGTTGAATTAGAGGTGATGTAGAGGTGATGTTGTGTAAACTTAGTCTTGTACCCAGACCTTCCACAGCCAAGACCTACAATTCAGTTAGACTGTAGGATCTGTGAGGGCTGTACAGGGCAACTCATTAACCTTGCCTCACCTTGAAAAACACAATCTGCACTTCACTTACAGCTACTCTATTCACTTATCAAAGAAAATCATTCATTGAGTCAGCAATGCCTCTATTCAGCTCCTCATTACTGAAAAGATTGTTTTAGATGGTAAGCTGCCATGTTGCTAAGCAACAGTCCAAATGGAAGTGTCTCTAGTAAAAACTTTTAATGAATTTGAAGTAAATTATGTTAAGGTTTGGTTACCCACTCAAGTTTTAATTTTTTAATGACTGAAATGAATACCATATGGTTCCCATGGCATAATTCTTTCATGAGAAACATTTAACTTCAAAACGCCTTGCAAATAGCAGTTATACTGCTTTCTTTGTCAATTAGTTTTAACACTTTGACCCCTGAGTGTGACTAGCATCTATTATAACATAACTAAAGCAAAGCGCGCACTCTGATTGGTTAATTCAGCATCTACTATTTGCCCATGGGTGCACGCTGCTGACGTGGGCAAATGCTAAAACTATTTTTTCGCATGTGCTTGTTTTTTCTGATCACGCAAGATTTGTTAAATAAAAGAGAACTCTTGTTCCAATGTATCAATGTTATGTTATAAAACAAATGGTGAACACCATAGCGTGTACTATTGAGTTATGGATGCACTTGGGAGGTTTGCTAAGCACTCAAGAAGCTAGAGTTGCACTAGGCTATTGTGCAACTCTTACGCTTCTTTCGTGCTTAAGCAACCTCCTCTGTGCATCCATAACTCAATAGTACACGCTATGGCGTTCACCATTTGTTAAATATCACTTACTGAATCACACACTGAGGTCAAGAGAATAAACCAAATGATCATCAAGTGAAGAAGCACTCGCTTGATCAACAAATTCTCTTTGTCAGCCCCTCCAGAAAAGCACAGTGAACAGTTTGGAGAATATGCATACTGGTGTTAGAGTTAAAGGGTTAAATATCACATAATCCCAAGATTTAAGCTCCTTTTCTATGACCTAAGCCCTAAAGGTAATTCTTCACAATGTTCGAGTGACTTTAGTGGGAAAGAGTATAATACTAGAACTCTCTGATACTGACATCAGGGTCACCTCACCAAGCTGTTAAGAAACTTTGCAAAAATTTAATTTAATTTAGTCCATTTTCACTGCATTAAGTTTTGCAGTGGG